GCGGCCCTGTGCCGAAAGCCTAACTGTCAGCCCTAAAGCGGGTAAATGGTAACTCGCACCTTCGGCCTACTCGAAAATGAGAACTTGGTCTCTTCTCAACAAAAACGACGTTCAATCTTCGACTCTTCTCTGTCCGAAAGCTACGAAGCAGGCACGACTTTAGGAACCTTCACCCGCCCAATAGCAAGTTTAACTGCCCTTGGATGACATTCGCCCAAACACGGACCAATCCTGCCTAGAATTTGAGGACTCCCAAACCCATCAACAAAATAGAATAGAATGCATTCTTTCTTCCAGTCAAGAAACTGATTTTCCCTGATTTTCCATGTTCTTTTCCATTTGATTCTCCATTATCCCAATATTAACCCCAATATAACCCAATGGGTGTGTGTTTGGGTTTGGTGGAGGTTTTTGAGTTGGGTGTGGTTTAGGGTTTAGGGTTTAGGGATGGCGGGTTTGGGAGGCGCTGCGGAATTAGTTGCAGGACTCTGGCAGCTGCGGGTGTTCGCAAGTGTTTCTTTCGAGGACTGAAGCACAACTCCATTCTAGACTTCCTGCTGGGGCGCACAGAGACTGAAAAACAAGTCCAAATTTTGCTTAAACCAGGAATGCAGGTCAACCTGAAGGATTCCTAAACAAGAGCTGTTGTGCATGATTATCTAAGGTATATACATCTATGCAACAAACCTTGTAGTAGTTTGTTGTAGTATACCGAAGGATGTTACCGACCAATAACACCCAGAATGGCCTGAGGCCTGAACCATTACACTGCTGCGTTTAGGGTTTAGGGTTTCAAAAAACTTCCCAGACCCCCTACATAATCTGAAAAATAGAACCTCCCAATCATCCCCTCGTGTCCCCCATGTAGTAATGGGGGTCATTTTTGGGAGCTTTGGGATCCTTTAGAGGGTCTGGGTTCTGTACAAGTCTGAACAAAGCAAAAAAAATGTGCCCAAATCATAGGGTTTAGGGTTTAGGGTTTAGGGTGGTATTCTTGATGAAACACAATTTCTGAGACCGTGCCCGGGTCCAAGACCAACCTTCACCAGTAGCGATGGTGACAATGTGACAACATCACGCACAACAGAAACCAATTGTCAACGCCGCTGCAACAGTGGTCACCATTGCAAAAAACCCACGTCTACTGGGTACCTAATTGCTGTCGTAGTAAAACGCACCTTCCCGCACATAGGCCGAACTCATGGGGCCTGCCCTGCTTTTTCTGGTTCACCTAGCCATTGCTCTGAAACTTGTCAGATCTAGGGTCAGATGGATAGTACTTATCAGGTGTTGAGAATTGATCCCAACCCTGGTAGCCCTGTGCCTCACGCAGAATCTTTGTCTTGGAGGCAACAGCGGCCGCATCCAAACGCCGGTTCAAGTCCTTGCACGCTGTGCTTGTCCTTGCGGCGTGGCACTCATAAGCCAGAATGTCGATGATTCCTAGCTTGCCGCGGTCCAGAAGCCCAGAAAGGATACCATGTTCGGCACCCTCCACATCCATCTTGATCACCACGTAGTCCGACTCACGGAAATTTTCTATCATCCATCGGACCACGTTGACTATGGCAATGTGATACCCTTGCGACGAACGTCTGTTCTTTGCAGAACCGCCACGAATCAGCACCTGACGCACAGTATATACTACATAGTATGTTGAGGCTATGTAGAGATGATGGAACAGAAAATGGAAACAGCCTAGACGATATAAGAATCTGGATATTGGGGCATCACAATAGGGATAATGGAAAAGAAAATGGAAACTACTATATTCTTGGGGCTATATAAGAATACTGGAAAAGAAAATGGAAACGACTATTATATGGCAGAACAATTCTGCGAAGGATTCTCATCTGACAAACCCTAAACCCTAAACCCTAAATCCAAAGCCCCAAACCCTAAGCAAAGGCACTGTTTTCGCGACGTCCTCGGGCATTGTCAGGATCCCATCCTCTGAGCCGACAGCTGCAGGGATGAACCTGAGCCACAAAAACAGGCCTGATATTAAACTCCCCAAACCCCCTCACATTGAATCCTCCCAATATACTATAATATACCACCATAGGGAGTATTTTAATATGAAAGGGGGTGGGGAGGTTTACTATTCGGGGGAGGGGATTAAAGGCTCCACATCAACGTCCGAAACCCACTTCTGCGCGCAATACGAACCTTGGAAGCCTTCGCAACCTTTCCTGGTGAGATTGTAAAGGCAACTTATACCACAGTACAAATGACACGAATTCCACCATGAATAATTTGATGAATGTGACTTGCAGCCTCGTACTTTGCATGTCTCAAATCAGTTCTAAGCCCTAAACCCTAAACCTGGCCAGGCACGTGTAGCGCGACTTCTTTGCATCTTCAGGCGGCCTAGCAGCTTCACTCATCCTTTCTCGGATCAACCCCGCATTGCTGAGCTCAGAGTCAGCCTCTGAAAAAACAACTCGCTGGTTTAGGGTGTAGGGCTTGTGGAATTCTAGGGAGTGTGGGAAGGAATATTCCGCTGAATATTTAATACTCCCATAATGTGGTATATAAAAATATATTGGGAATATTTAGTATTACCGGGTTGGGAGGGGTTTAATCGAATATTACAATCAGGATGTTCAAAGGACTGCTGCAGGAAGGCTTCGTAGCAGATTACATTCGCACCTGGGTGAAGTGAAACTGGATAGCAGACTCTATCAGCCCTATTAAAAACTCTTTAAGGAGGGTTGTATAGGGGGGGTCTTATCGGGCTTATTCAGGGAAATACTAAGAGTTTAGACTATAGCTAGGGTTAGGGTTATAGGATGAGCCACTGGACCTGTTGGCAAGACCCGTGCACCCTATGTGGATTAGATTGCAGCTGCAGCTACTGTCAAAAAGAGCCAAGGAAAAGCCAACCCCTTATCGCCTGCAACTGCGACTTCCGCAAATAACGGCAACTACATAAAGCTAGCTCCTTACCCCCCAGATAACATTTTGGTTTTTGGGCTGCAAAGCTCTTTTCATAGACTCAGCCACATTCTAGGAATGCAGCATCTGCAAATCACGTTGCCCCGGAACCTTCAGCGCACGGATTCGTGGCTCAAAGAGTTTCACCATGCAGTTTCGCGTGGCAGCTGTGTTGCTCTTCCTGCAGCGGAACCTCTTGGCAAGCTCGTTCCTGGGTTGCAGATAACGAACTTAAATTGAGTTACCACAACGGGTATACGTGGGTATAGATTTTTCATATTAATACATATGGTGTCCCCAATATAGTAACTTAAACTAAGTTCCTTAACAGCAACCCAGGTTCAAGTGGCCATTTGACCCTGCCGGAGGGATGAGCACAGGGGGTTTGGGCCCCTGTCCATTCAGGAAACGGGCGAACTTGTCCACATAGGGTTGGATGAAAGGGTTCCTCAGCCAGGGACTCCAATCCGCCAAAGAGCCCAGCTCAAAACAAACAATATAACTCTTGCTATCTGTTCTTCATGAAATACTTGTCCTCTGTGACTTGCATCGTGGTCTTCTTAGGTTAGCACACAAAGAGCTATGTTAGGGATGTATATATATAGGGGTTATATTTGGATAATGGAAAATAATATGGAAACTACTGCATAGTATGTTGGGTTTATATTGGGATAGTGGAAAAGAAAGTGGAAACCATAGGCAGCTAAGCACAAAAACCCTAAACCCTAAAAAAGCTATAGCCGTGCTCACCAAGACTCGCTTCAAAGGCGTACACCTCCCAGGCAGCATCTCGGTGGGATCTATGCGAGATATCCGCATACCTCAGACATGTTTGGTATAAAGAGAGTATATATGGTTTAGGCATTAGGGTTTAGGGACCTCACACATGCTATTGGGTGGTATATAGGGGTAATGGAAAAGAAAATGAAAACTATCATTTCATATAGGCTTTTATAGAGGTAATATTGGGGGGTATGTAGGGATAATGGAAAAGAAAATGGAAACGACCAGATAGTATCTTGGGGTAATATGGGGATAAAGGAAAAGAAAATGGAAACTATCATTTCATATTGGCTTTTATAGAGGTAATATTGGGGGTATGTAGGGATAATGGAAAAGAAAATGGAAACGACTAAATAGTATCTTGGGGTAATATAGGGATAAAGGAAAAGAAAATGGAAACTACTATTTAGGGTTTAGGGCTTAATGCCTCTTAACCTCAGACATGCTAGGCAGATAAGTAGGCAAAAGGCGGGCGACAAGCAAATCAAAGTCGCAACATGACTCTTGCCGCGCGATGACAAAAGCATGACAAGAGATTTAAGCAATCTCGGGTGTCTAACACCTTTTGTGAGGGATAAATGGATTATCAGCGCATTTGGGGTATCAACATAGCACAGAGACCATCAGTCAGCCATAAAACGTACAGTATGTATTTCAATGACCCCAAAATAACCCCTAAATACTATAGTAGTTTCCTTTTTGTTCTCCATTATCCCTATATATCCCCGATATAACCCCTATCATGTAACCCCTAAACCCTAGACCCGCAAACCCTAGACCCTGAACCCTAAACCCTATATTCAGTTTACTTACGGGTGACTGTAATCCATGGAAAAGGTGCAAGCGCAAGGTGTTGGCCCAATTGGCACCCATGTCCATGTAGACATGCCTCTCTCAGGCTCGTTGCTGCATAGGCAGGGGAAAAAACAACAATAATAATAGTAATAATAGAAATAAAGGTGATAATAGTAATAATTGTAGTAATAGATTTTGTGTTGCGGGCGTGCAAGTGGGATACCTAGCCGCATATGGCTGCAGAACTTTCTCGGGCTCCAAGTTCACACATCTCACAGACATGGCAAGTCTGCTCAACCTGAATCATGAGATCCCACATACATTCCTCTCTCATCCGGATAAATGCATTGACCTGAGGATCTCACCATAGCACAGGCCCAGTGACCCCAGGCGAAGCTTTCCTTTTTCTATAGTTGCGTTCAATCAGGAACTCCCGGGCGCCTCTGATGAGGTGGCTTGGGATCTCGGTTCTCCTTTCGCACAGCGGTCAAAATAATTTACTTCTGCACGACTTGTGCAATGCACTGCCAGTCACCCTGAGGCCGTCAGGACATTCCCATTATTCTTATTATTATTACTATTATTATTACTATTATTGTTATTGCTATTATTATTACTATCATTATTGTCATTATTATTATTGTTGTTATTATTATTGTTATCATGAGTTGTGACTGGACTTTGGAAACGCAAAGGCTTCATTGAGCATAATCATGTTTACAGCTTGGGTCCCATAAGGACACTGTGAAAACCGCAACTTGCAAGCCGAAGCTATGAATCCATGGAGCCTCTCAAAGTTTGCTCCCACCTTCTTGATTGCTCAATGGCTCCTACAAGAGCGACAGAGAGAACTTTGTGTCTATGGAACCCCAACTGAACAAAGCTCGTCCCTGGTTGCTGGTGCGACCTCCAGCAGCTGCAGCGGCGCTGGCGCAACGGAAGGATCAACAGCGGTAGGCTGTGGTGCATGCAGTTCCTTCGGTTGCCGAAAACTGTTTCAGACCAAGGCAAAGGGCTGCTGTTCATGTCTTGCGAGTACAGCAAAGCTCATGGGCTAGGACGGGATGTTCCAAAAGCAAAGCTTGCAGAATTTGGTTCAGGTCCACGCGTGAAGACAACTACGGAAAGCACACCTTGTGAGGCGGACATGCTAAGAGAATGAGGACATCTCGGCTGTGACAGAAAGCTGCCCTCATCTTAGTGACCACTTGCAGAACCATGATGATCAGAAAAGTCGTGGCAACGATTATCCAGCCTCCTTGCTTTTGCAAGTCTGACCATTCGGGCAACGAGATTAGCAGCGGTGGCAGCCAAAATTGCTGCCAAAGGGTTGTTGTAGTCTTGTTCCTAACAATACACAGAGGCGAGCCAAACCTTGGCCTCAAAGCCTGGAATCTGAAAGCTGACGAAACTCCTCTGCTCGGCTGACTCCCACAGGCCTGATGGGAGTCCAGCTCCACTCTGCCACTTGCCTGCCGTAACCTGCAAGTGAGATTCCCGTTTTCAACAGCTTCGTTTTCAAGACCCTCCAAATCCTGCATCACCACACAAAATACAAGATCATCTGAAGTCTAGGCCTTAAACATTTTGCAAACATCACAACCCGGAGATTCAAATAGAATCGTTCTTACCACCTTTTTGTGGCCAACGGCAAATACACAAACAGCTAGCAAAATCTACAAATCCTGCAAAAACCCTTGAAAAGTTGCGAAGCAGCATTTTGAGCCCCTTCCATTGTAGGCCTAGTTGCTAGCAAAGCTCATCAACCCAAGCAGGACGACCGACACCAGAAGACGACGAGAGCACATGGCTGCTGTGTTTCTAATGGGGCAACAATAGAATGATATGTACTGCTGTGTCCACGCAACTCGTGGCACTGCCACGCATGGCCACAAATTTTTGTCAGTCCGTAACCTTTTGCGCGACTTCTTGCAGCAACCATACCTCAAACCCTGTACCCTAAACCCGAAACCTTTAATATGCTATAGTAGCTTCCATTTTCTTTTCCATCATCCCCTATAAAACCCTATATAACCCCTATATACTATACTACACGTTGGCTATCACTTTGGACCAATGCAGCCGCAGGGCCAAACGTTTGCAAGGAATTTCTGTATCCTAGGAGGGCTGCACTCGAATATGCAGCATTATCGAATTACGAATCAAAATACGTTCAAGGAATCTGAAATAATGCACTACAGGACAATGATGCACAACCCTGCGAAGTAGGTCAAAGGTCAAAGGACTGGGAATCCTGATCTGAAGTTTCACCTTTGCAGAGCAGTCAATTACAAAAGCAAAACAATTCCAGCCATCACTCTCTTCATCTTGTTTGTTTGCTTGCTTTAGAATATCACGGCAAAGACTTTCACATAAATGGCTGGCAGTGTCCATGCCAACTCCAAAGTGATTCAAAATAGCCGTTTGTTTGAATGAACATATCAGCATACGCAAAGCGATCGTTAAACCTGTCCATAAACTTGATGCTACCGCACGGCCCACCGACTGTGCAACTCAAAACACGCCTTCAACATGAATCATTGGCCTCCAAAAACACCTCATTTATTTGAAACTCACTCAGATTAGTCCGTGCTTCATAACAAAAGTCCAAAAACAAAAGGTTTCATCCACCAGAAGTTGCAACAAATTTATTTCAATCTCGTTATCAATCACAAAAATTCAACCTCGAGTAGTCATCAAATATTTCTGTATTTATATTGACTCAGCGCACACCGCTCTTTTTCCATTGGGGAGTTCATGCTACGAGCTGCTGCTGCCTGTTTGCGCTTGCCTCGTACGGCTGGGTAGGCCAGAGGCGAAGCGAGACAGAATAGATTTCAGTGAGACCGTTGGAATATCAACAAGGCTGGGCAAGGGTGGGTCAACAAATTTCCAACGACTCAGGCAGCTTGATGATGTAGGGCCGCGGCGGGAACATGTAGTGTCCAAATCACAAGCACTTAAATTCGGAGACAATCGCAAGCACAAAATCTGAGACGTTTCTGGAACAAAACGAAACTTGAGTTTGTAAAATAAAGCATCATAACTCGTATTTGAAACTCACTCAGATTAGTCCTTGCTTCATAACAAAAGTCCAAAAACAAAAGGTTTCATCCACCAGAAGTTGCAACAAATTTATTTCAATCTCGTTATCAGTCACAAAAATTCAACCTCGAGTAGTCATCAAATATTTCTGTATTTATATTGACTCAGCGCACACCGCTCTTTTTCCATTGGGGAGTTCATGCCACGAGCTGCTGCTGCCTGTTTGCGCTTGCCTCTCCCCCCTTTGGGCCTCAAGCCAAACAACATCAAAAGATGCTAGCCTCCAGCTGCACTTCTTTGTTGGCCACGAGCCACGGGTGAGGTATCCCCCTTGATGGGGGGTCATTTTCATTTCATTCAATCGCCGCCAAT